CAGCAGCGATATTCACAGAGTAAATATCCAAAGGTTTTCACACCTTCAACAGCAATCAAACACAATAACAGTGTTTAAAAATACACGTAAGTAAAGATTATTCACAAGCACAGCCGAACTAATCGCTGGTCAAAACAATCCTCACTACTCGCTGGTTTAATCCAGACTCCTCCCCGTCCTGGCAAGCATCTTTTTATAGGCGCGACAGAAACTTCCAGAAATATAACAGCTCGTGTCATTGAACGTGACACTAGTGGAGGGATCTACTACTTTCTAGAAGATTCCAGAGGGTTTCGAACTCGCCAACATGGTCGCCAATGACGCCAAAATGGTCACCAAAGTCACCAAATTGGTCGCCAACTTAGTCGCCAAAAATGATGCCAACTTGGTTCTACCGCCATGATTTCGCAAAGTTCACATTGGATCGCCATTATAACGTAAGGGTCGGCGTTGCTTGTGAATGTGGTACAATTTTAACATGAAATAAACATAACATAGAGTAATATAAATGCATTAAACACTCAAATACAAATTATTTACTCTAAAAATTCGTAACAATATGTTACTACAAGTCTACTAAATAATTTTAAAGAAAAATGAGAAATACGGAAAAACTCCCCAGTTTTTATTAGTCATAATATTTTTTTAAACTCCAGAAGGCAAAAGACAGAATAGCTTTTATGCAAAGAGCCGCGCTTTGCCAATCCCTACCATTCACATGCTAGTTCCAGTGAGGGGCTCAATCTGTCGTAGTCATGGTCTTCACGTTAGCAGGGCATAAAAGTTCGGAGCTGCCGTTTTAAATACTTGAGCGTAGTAAAAATATTACATGAAATGTCGCCTGCTTCAGAGTAGTACGTTAAGAAGCAATTCCCCCAATGCCAGGCGACAAAATTAATCATCGTTTCATGATATAGATGCTTGAATATTTAAAAATGAGCGAATGTCTGTAATAACTAAAAAAAAAACACTTTCTTACATGAATTTTCTTTTCTAGATTGAATTTATGATCAGAGTAGTTTAAAAACATTTTGACTCTAAAATATAGAAAATTTGAATACCAGTTTTCTTTAAAAAATGGGAAATGAATACGAGTCGCAAACATTTAAAATATGATCTAGGAATTGTCTGTAAATTCTAGTAGAAACAATCCAAAAGATTTCAAGATGGAAATGAAGCCGCTCTTTTCCTATTTTTGTGCACTTGATTTAAATATTTCTTAACATTTCATTAGTTTCTAGTGCATGATTAAAATTGAATTCCACGCAAGTCGATTTCTAAGAAACAAAATTCAGTGAAGGATAAAAGGGGCGATTAGCAGACTAATAGTCATTTGGGCAATTTAAGAAAAATAATATTATCTAAAAAAAAATTGATTCTTTCAGAATATTCATTGAACGAAATTAATTTTTTAATGAGTATTAAACCAAAATTTTATCACAAACGATCGTGTTAAGAGAGAGGTATATTTGTTTTGAATAACTGATTTAAACAAAATAAAATAAATGTTTTGATTCTTTTTTACTAACATCGGACTCCGAAGGAACTGTCAAATGACAATGACTACACCTGAGCTGACACCCAATTCTCTTAACTTCCGTACGACGTCAACGTGATGACTTTGAGCGTCGACAGTTTTAATGTGCATCCCCCCTCCATGACAGAATTTAAATGGCATCATGAAGAAAAATAATGCTGGTCACGAAATATCACTGCAGCGCTTAATGAGCTGTACATGAAGGAAGTTTTCCACCAGAGTTTCGTGTAAAACAATGCTTTTTATTATAGGCATGAGCATTTATGAGAGACTGAAAGCGGGGTGCCTGAAAAAAAAGGAGCTCTTCGAGGATCCCGATTTCCCCGCCTCGCAGGCATCCATATTTTACCATCAGACGCCCCCTTTCCAGTTCGTGTGGAAAAGACCCAAGGTAAGAATAATACATTATGTTTTTAAAAAGCAGTACTTATCCTCAATACCTTTGCATTAGAGTAGCTCAATGCAGTTGACAATCGCTCTGGAATCTCGCCAATTTCTCCACTTTCAGACTGCCAAAGACTAGATTGTATGATTTATATACTATAGATCTTGATATGTCTCTCTCTGGTCTTCATATAGTTCCTAAGGTATAAGCTCAAATGTTGTTTTTGCTATCTATCATTTACATAGACATTCGGACCTCTATACAACGGAAAATCCCGGAAAAAATTTCGTTATATGAAAAATTCGTTATATATAGGTTCAACTTTTAATATACTTTATAAACCACATTAAAAAAAAAAACAAATTTTAAATTCATAAACACTATATATTAAAAAAAGTAATTTTTCACAACTTTTTAAAATTAATATATGTTTAATTTATATATCTTACCCATCAAAAAAGAAAGGAAGAAAAACTGCAAGGAAAACAAGAAAAAAGAATGTCGAAGAATTCACTATATTTTTAATATTAAAAAAGTAATTTTATACTAAAATTAATGAATTTTAAGGGCATTTTATAATTTAAAGCATACAAGTAATATTAAACACACATTATTTTATAATTATAACGTGGGGACACGGGACAACTCCACTGAGGGTGAAAGAGGATATCGAAGATATTTCTAGTGAGCTGGGCAATGGGGGTTAAGGGTTGCTCTTCTTGAATGAAACGTCCAGAACTTTATTGCTCTCAGCGAGTTAGGATCTTATAAAACCAGTTCAAGATTTATGACCACCATAAAATGTGTTAAAGAGAGAATAACTTGAAATTTTTTTCAGAAATACTTTAAAAAAAGGGAGAACAAAAATTGAATCACAAAAGAAAAAGTTCGTTAGATAGAAAATGCACTTCGCTATAGTGAGGTTATTTTACAAAGAAAATAGCGCTATGTTCAAGGTTCCAGGAAAAAGTTCACTATATAGAAAAATTCGCAATATAGAGGTTCGTTATATAAAGGTTCGACTGTATTTGATTTTAAGAAATCAATAAACAGTTTTAATTACTTTAATTTTCATTAAGATTTATGATTGGCTAAACACTCTCCGGCTTACATGGCCGCGGTTGCCAAGGGGTTATGGTCACGAACTTGTGGCCAGCGAGTCATGGGTTCGAGTCTTGGTGCCACTGAAGACCCGCTGTGTATAGGGGCTGTCGTGGACCAATGTATGATATGGCACCAGCTCAGGTGTCACCCTTGACCTTTGACTGAGGTTCAAAATTAAGAGGTCCGTCGCCAATCTCTCATATGCTGCTTTATAGTGTGACGTTAATATGACTTTTTTTTTCTTTCACTCCCTCTCCAACTTGGATGTAACCAGGTGCATCATGTAGATCAGGAGTCTCCAACCCCCGGTCCATGGATCAAATACTACCGGTCCACACAAGAAAAATTAAATTATTTCCATTTTATTGACTGTGGTATATTTTTCTTGGATTTGTGTGTGGGCTGCTGTTGATGAAAATCATTTTATATTCCTTGTAAAATCCCTTTATATTCATTTTTGGTGTAGCTATATGTTATTCTGAAGACACGTTAAAATACTATTAAAATAAAATGATTAAATCAAAACAATCTAAAATATAAACAATCAACGTCCTCCCCCTCAGCGGGCCGCGACCGCACCGCGGCGAAAAAAGGTTGGGGAGCACTGATGTAGATAATAAAGTTAGAAATGCGTAAAAAGAAGTATTTCAAACGTAACGAAGAAACATCACCAAGGTATTCCGAAATCGCATTTCCCAAACACAGCAAAATCCACGGGGGAGACAATTAAACGGTTGTAATGCGTCATAAATTGGAACTACGAAGCAGTTATGCAATGCTTGGAAGGGAAAAATTTGAAACAAAAAAAAAAACATGTTTCAAGGAACTAAATAAAATATTTATTAAAAAATCTCGCTTACACACATAATTTGTCTATGTGTGTATTACACACATTCTTAAATCTTATTATTTAAAGTATTATCACATCATGGGAGCACTCGGATATTATCACATAATGAATAAAAGTATTTCATTGTTTAAAAATTACTTTTAAGAAAATCACGTGAAAGGTTTGATAATTTATTTTATTTTGTTGCGCTATTTGAAAGACATTTTTCTTCATTTGGAATTGTGTGTAAGTTAAGCACGTCCTTTAAAAAGGAATCGGGTAAGGAGCTCCTGAAATAGTTTTTACAAAGGCAAAAAAAAAAAAAAAAAAAAAAATTGCATTACGATCTTATACTTTTACACATTTAACCGAAACAAATTGCTCGTACTTTATCTCTCGCATCAGCCATTTTTCTTCAGAGAGTTCAAGTTCTTCTTGAGAACTAAATACTGGCGCGTTTTTTTTTTTATTAATTATTTTTAATTATTGTTTTTACACCGAAGTTGGCAATTTTTTAGCTTGACGATAAAGTGTAACGCACATTTTTAAGCATTTTAAGTGCACGCTATCTTAAGGGTTCTGCATTTCAGTGGGTGAGTGAGTGAACATTAACGTAGCTCTGTTCAGATACACGAGGGCTTTTGGCGACGGGCCACGTAATTTTGAACCATGGTCGAGTGACGTGGACAATACCTCACAATGAGCTGGCACCCCTCTCTCCTAACTACCCCACCACACCAACGGGAGGATGTTTCAGCTGTCGACTATATTTCATGTGCATCGCTCCCCTACACGGCGGTTCTTTAGTGGTACTGGGCTCGAACTCGTGACATGCCAGCCACGATCCGATACCTTGACCACTAGGCTACGTGGCCATCGCATTTCAGTGGGAGAGAAGCAGTAAAGAGGTGCGTTCTTTAATCACGGCTGATACAGCAAAATAAATGTTTTCAAATAAAAATTTTCTTCGAGTATTCATTTTTTTGAAGTTATACTTCTTTTGGGGCGTTAGAGAAATAGGATGAGGGTGAATTTTTACGATGCGTGCGCACACCGTCACGGATGTGAAAATGCTTTGTCTAGAAATATACAGAACGTTACAGATCATTGCCACCTTCGAAATTCTCAGAAAAAATACTTTTCTCCATTTCCCTGAAGAGAAAACCCGGATTTGAACCGGGGACCTCTCGATCTGCAGTCGAATGCTCTACCACTGAGCTAGACGAGATTTAAACCAAGTGTTCCCCTCGTCGAGACACATCCAGTCGTCTGCTTCTTTTCCATTGTGTAGGCATGGGGAGGGCTTAAGCACTAAAATATCATGCTCCTCTATTAATCCTATGGGGACTGGAAAAAATTTCCCCCCCCCCCCCTCCTTTCTAAAGAATTGAGCTTGGAACTTGATTTTTGGAGGTCCGCCATATTTTCGTATTAGCACGAACTTTACGTGGAATTGGCCCCTTCCCCCTACAGGGCTTCCCCAGAAATAACTCGAATCCTATGCCACCTTGGTCAACCGCACCGGCTGGATTCGATTGTTCTTCCTATGAGCATCCTAGATATATTTTTTCAGGACCATAGCTCCATTTCTTTACCCATATTTAACATTTTTAAATTATTTTAAAGTTATAATTTTTTTTAAATTCCGCATGGCTCCGAGGATTTTTGAGATTCGTTAATGAAACTCGGACCATAAGTTTTCCTCGTTGAGCTGTTTCATCTGTTATAATTCATGTGTAAGTGAGCTTGGGGGGGGGGGCGTTATCACTAAAATTAGAATCCCCATGTTTT